TGATCAAGTGAGATTTGTCTCTGGGATGCAAGGATTGTTCAACATTTGCAAATCAATAATGTGATACAACTCATTAAGAAAATGAAGGCCAAAAACCATTATGATCATCTCAGTTGATGCAGAAACAGCACTTGAAAAGATCCAACATGTTTTCAAGATGAAAAACTCAATTAGGAATAGAAAAGTGTACCTCAACACTGTATTGTACAAATATGACAAATCCACAGTAATACTGAACAGAAAAAAGTTTAAAACTTTTCCTCTAAGACCCAGAACAAGAAAAAGATGCCCCCTGTTTTTACTCCAGTGTTCTAAACAGTACGGTATGTCGTAGAAATTAGGAGGAAAAAGAGGCATCCTAATTGTAAGAGAAGTCAAATTATCCCTGTTTGTATATGATATAACCTTATATAGTGAAATTCCTAAAGATTCCACATATACACAAAGAGTTTGTTAGAACTGATAAATTCACTGAATTTGTAGTAAGAAAAATTAATACACAAAAATCAGTAGCACTTTTATATTAAGGACAGAATTTTCAAAACAGAACTGAGAACAATCCCACATACAGTGGCCAAAATCTCCCTTAGAAATAAATCTAATCAAGAAATTGAAAGACCTGTTCACTGAAAAGTATAAAATATTTATAAAAGACACAAAAACTAAAAGATGCAATAAAATGATAGAAGGTTCGCATTTGGAAGAATTAATATTGTTAAATGCTCACAGTACCCAGATAATACACAGATTCAATGCATTTCCTACAAAAATTATAGCATCATTTTTCATATGACTATAAAAATCTTATAATTCACAAGGAGCCACAGAAAAACCTTGAATAGTCAAAGCAATCATTAGCATAAAGGACATAGTTGGAGGCATCACACTACATTAATTTCAAACTATATTATAAAATAATAGTCGTAAAACAATATGGCTGGTCATGGTGGTGCATGCGCGTAATCCCAGCACTCAGAAGGCTGAGGCAGGGGGATCACCAATAGTTCAAGGCTAGCCTGGGCTACATAGTGAATTGAAGGCCAGCCTGGACTATAAATCAAGACCCTATCTAAAAAAACAAAACAAAACAAAAAAATACACCCTCAAATAAAATAAAAAACAGCATGACACTGGCATAAAAATAGATACATAAACTAATGGACCAAAATAGCTCAGAAAGGAATCTACACATCTATGAATATTGATATTTGGCAAAGATGCCAAGAATATACAATGGGAAAAGGGCAGTCTCTTAAATAAATGGTGCTGGGAAAAGTGGACATACATAAGCTAAAAGTGAAATTAGACACTTATCTCACTTTGTAGCCCAAAATGAACTAAAAATGTATTATCATTTCATTTACTGCTGAAAATTAATTATTATTTCAATTATACATATTGATGGCATACTGTGTGAATACAATACATGTATACAATATGTAATGATAAAATAAGGGTGAATAGCATTTCCATTTCTTTCAATATTAAAAATTTCAAAATAGCACAATGACTGTACATATTTATGGACTACACTTTAATGTTTCAAAATTTGTACACAATGTATACTGATCAATTCAGAGTGATTTACATTTCAATTTTCTTATCATTATTTTGTGTTTGGAGCTTTCACCCTGAAAGCGGGGTCACTGAAATCTGATCCTTGTTAGCAGTATGTTTATCTCTCCCAGGATCCATTTATAGGGAGTTGTATTGTAGTGAGAGAGACGCCACGTGGAATCTTTTCCAAGTATGTGTCTTTCATGGCGATACTCTGCTTCAAAACCACTGATGGCTTCTTGTGTAAACCTTTTTACTCCTAAGATATTTTGAATCATTCAAAGTCTGGCATTTGATGTCTTTTATGTCTTTTATGTTTTCTCTAACCGTGCTTCTTTACCTCCAAAAATGTAGCATCCACCAAGACAGGACTACTGTCCACTTCCTAACAGGCAAGATTAAGCATCTATCCCTGAGCTTCTCTCTACCCTCACATTCCCCAGAAATAGTCAGGCGTGATAAGTGGTTATAATCAGCCACCACTAGAGGACTCAGAGAATTTTTCTTAGGGAGGTTCTGGGTAATTATTTTGTTTTTAATGAATTCCTCCAAGATCTAGACTCCTCCGGGATGCAGAGCCTTTAGGCCCGGGGATGTGTAGAATGAGAAATGTGAGTAGGGGTGATGCAGACATAGGTGATAACTACAGCCGGTGTTACTTCCTATGCCTAGAAGAAGAGAAGGGAGCAGGATCTCTGGTCAAGGCTCTGGATTCACCCTCAGCCCATCTGGGTAAGTTGGCAAGAGGGAGAATGAACTGGTGCCTTAGTGCCCTTCCAACTTGAGGGTCTTCATTTCCCAGATTGTATGATGTTCTGCACAATACTTTTTCATATGTGATAACTTTTCTTTTCTCCATTGCTATCTCCCAAGACTTCTCCATGCTGTGAAATATTCTCATTGATGTTCAGCACTTTATAATATTTATCAATGTTTATTAATGATAACATTCATTAATATTATGATGTAATGTATTTTCCCAAGATTACATCATTTCAACATAATGATGCCTCTGTGAGAGTTGTCATTTAATAGAGAGGTCCTTAATTTCTGTTGATGTAATTGAATTATTGAAGGAGCTTCAATATGTTTTGGACATATCTCCTCCAAGATATTTTGGTCACATGTTTTGGGGGATGGCAAATCTGTTTTGCAATCCTCCTACTCCAAGTATGGTCCACTGACAAGCTGAGTTAGCATCACCAAATGTAAAAACTGAACTTTTAAAATGTAGAATTTTAGGCCCCCCACCAGTCCTACTGAATCAAAATCAGCATTTAACAGAGTAACCACGTGCTTCTGTGTAAGTTAAGTTTTGGAAGTTCTGCCGCTCGTGATTCCTGTGTGCAGTCCTGACTGCAAACTACACAGGTGTGAGGTGAGGAAGGTGAGAGGCACCATTTGCAGGAGGACTGAAGCTCATGTGCTTGATCAGAGTCACCCTCTGAAAGTAATGTCTCTGTGGTTTGTGATTCCTATTAAGACCCTAGATGCCAGCGATGAGTCCCACTCATTTCCAAAGGAAGCAACATTCTGAGAAATCAAATGTATAAAATTTCACTGATGCTTTTCCCAACTGAAATACCAGCATGCTTTCTCCAAAATTTAAAAACTCCTGTTGTAGCTAGATCAAACACCATCAGCAGGGAGAAAATTCCAGTAATTGCACTCAGTCATGTCTGTTTTGTTGAGGAAATTCCAAAGACCTAATGTCCTTTTTCATTTTTCTTAACAATGAGTTATGGATTTCTGGAGACAAATTGGGGTGAGGTCTCAGAGGTAGAAATTATTTTCATTCCTTCCTATCTCCCCAAATTACTAAACCTGTCAGATTAGTTTTTCATATCAATACCATCAATACAAGGGAAAATATCAGCGTGGCCTTGCATAAAGGGTAATCTGATTGTCTGTTTTGGATGAAGAGTAGTATGACTGGGCCATCTAGTATTTTTTATAATGGGTCTGAAGTTACATCCTGATATTCTACAACAAAGTGTCAAAAGCTAGTGCTGCAAGCTTCAGGCTTGTGAGTCCTTCTGGGAAGATATAGTTAGGAGTCATTATTATAACTTAAGGGGGAGTTTTCTGCCTTTAAATTTTGCTGTGTTTCAGCCTGGAAGGTAGCTAATAGATATTCCACTGACCACATCCAGGCATTATGCCATATACGGACCATGGTGCAGTTAAAGACAGACATGGCCTTTCTTGCATGTAGTTTCCAATGTGACAGGGAAGTCAGCTGGAAGCAAGTAAGCAAGGGCATTGAGTACTATGAGATGAGCACATGATGCTGTGGGAACATAGCAGCAGGTCTCCATATAAGGAGATAGGGAAGATTTAGTTGTGAAAGTGACATGTAATATACCTGAAGAATAAGTAGGGGGAAGCCAGGTGGAGAGGGAGCAGAGGGAAGATGGGGCTAGGCAAGAAGAACAGTAAGTGTGGAAGGCTGGAGTCAAAAATTATAATCTTTACTCCCAGTGTTTCTGGAGAAGGAGATGAAAGGGTCATTGCAGGGCTAGATGAGACTGTGGAGGTAGACAAGGGACAGATCATGCAGCACTTATTTTCTTTTGTGCCCTTAGAAGGAATTTTGTCTTTATCTGAGGCATAGCGAGCACTCATGAAATTTTCAGCCAGAACATTGTGATCAAATTTTAATTATAGATTGCCACAGTATGGCAAGACTGAAGGAGAGTAAACATAGCAGCAGTGAGGTGAAATAATATATTCTTCCAGTAATCCACACAAAATAGTGTCAGCCTGGTCCAGATCATAGCAGTTTGGATACACAGTTGGAGTTGTGGAATGAGATTTAGGATTAGCTAGAGTACGTGTTGATGGTGAGGGAAATGAGTAGATGAAAGAAAAACCTTAGCCTTACTCGAGCCTGTATTGTTTTTGATGAGATATGAGCGACTGAAGGAGTGGATTGGAAGAAGGGAAGGGTGAGTCATGATTTCATTTAGGGTATGTTGAGATGAAGATGGGAATGATGTGAAGACAGAAGTTCATCCATGTGGTTTAGATGGTAATGAAAGCCACACGAGTAGGCAAACTCTCTCAGGGCTGTATCTATATGATAATGACCATGTTAGGAAAAAGCTCAGCAAATAGTGATATATATGATGTTAGTGGAGAAACAAATTACAGTTATTCAGAACTGAAGTATCAGGAGTACCAGTGTGGTCCCTCAAAAGCTAATCCACGGGAGTGTTTTGGAAGGTGTGGGGAAATGCCAATATCATTACATCGTATTAGAAGAGATGAAATTAAGTCTGAGAGGTAGCTTGGATTTAGTGAAATGACAAATGATTATAGAGATTGTTGCTTCAGATACTGAGGGTGGGATAAATTATTGCAGAACATTTAGGAGACCGTGTATCATAGACTGATGTTCATTTTTATTTGGATTTTAAGAGACCCTATTATTTTCTCTTAAAGATGCTGGAGACAGAGCATGAAAGGAAAGAATCAAACTATGTTCTCAGAGTTCCTCCTCCTGGGTGTGCCTATCCAGCCAGAGTATGAACACCTGTTCTATGCCTTATTCCTCTCCATGTATCTTACCACCGTCCTGGGGAACCTCCTCATCATCGTCCTCATTCAACTGGACTCTCATCTCCACACACCCATGTATTCTTTTCTCAGCAACCTGTCCTTTTCTGATCTCTGCTTTTCCTCTGTCACAATGCCCAAGTTACTGAAGAACATGCAGAGTCAAGTCCCATCCATTCCTTATGCAGGCTGTCTGGCCCAAATGTATTTCTTCCTGTTTTTTGCAGATCTGGAGAGCTTCCTGCTTGTAGTCATGGCCTATGACCGCTATGTGGCCATCTGCTTCCCCCTGCACTACACCAGCATCATGAGCCCCAAGCTCTGTGTGTGCCTGGTGGTGCTATCCTGGGTGCTGACCACGTTCCATGCCCTGTTGCACACCCTGCTCATGGCCAGATTGTCTTTCTGTGGGGACAATGTGATTCCCCACTTCTTCTGTGACATGTCTGCACTGCTGAAGCTGGCATGCTCTGACACCAGTATAAATGAATTGGTGATATTTATCACGGGAGGCATCATTCTCATCATTCCATTTGTACTCGTTATTGTTTCCTATGCACGAATTGTGTCCTCCATTCTCAAGGTCCCTTCTGCTCGACATATCCGTAAAGCTTTCTCCACTTGTGGTTCTCACCTCTCTGTGGTGTCACTGTTCTATGGGACAGTCATTGGCCTCTACTTATGTCCATCAGCTAAGAATTCTACTATGAAGGAGACAGTCATGGCTCTGATGTACATGGTGGTGACTCCCATGCTGAACCCTTTCATCTACAGCCTGAGGAACAGAGACATGAAGGAAGCCCTGGGAAGAGTCATTTGTAAGAAAATTTGTTTCTGTCCATGATAGTAATATTTGTAACTATTATATAATTTTCCAGTAGATATATTGATTTCTAAATATCATTCTTGACCTTTTTTCTTGCAGGCAAAATATTACATAAATGTCCAATAAGTAAAACATCTCAAGTGAAGATGTGTAGTTGATGTAGGAAGGTGTTCTCAGGGACATACTAGGAAGGTTTTCCTATTTCCTAATTCCAAGTGACCCTGAGCAAGCTTAATGTAAAAGATTTTAGCTGAGTTTTTCACACGAGAGAGGCAATGAGATATTTACACACGTGTATCCAATTTATTTCACTTAAGAGTATGGTGTCAAGGAACAAAATGTATGATAGATAACGTGAAATAGGAAGAAGTTTTTCAAAAGGAAGGGGGAAAAGAAGGAAGGGAAAATACTGAGAAAAGGAAAAAATGGAAACAAAGCCTTTGTAAATAAAGAGGGGAGGCATGGAAGGAGGGTTGAAGGGAAGATATACCATGTACCAGTACAAACTCCCTATGATGAATGTGATCATTATGTATATTTAAATTGTACCAATAAAGTTAATTTAAACAGATTTTAGTTGCAATCTGCCTGTAGATGTTAAACAAGTAAATTGTTACGTATTATCTTTCAAAATCACTTTTTATTGATATTCTGTCCTCTCTTGCCAATACTAATTCCGAAATATTTATTTCCTACTCCTTATTCTAATCTACACAATTAACTATTGAATAAAATACCTCTTTCTGAGTGTTTCCATCATTCCATCTTTTAACTTTTTTGTACTTTTTTATTTCAATGTTTAAATTTTTTTGGTAAAACCTGACTTTAGCCTAAAATGAACTTTCAACTTTCTTTGTTATAATAGTTTAATTTGAATTTTTGTGTGTTTAATTTAAATCGTATCTGGGGGCCCAGAAGTTGTCCCCTGACGCATGAAGAAGAAATCCAGAGTCTGCTTACCGGCCTCACTTTTAAAAATCTCTTTCCCTTCCTTGTTATTTCAGAGTTTATCAACAAATTTTCATCCATGATCTTACTAATTCTTGTGAGAAGCCAGCAATGAAAAGCGGTCTTACTATTGTGTTAAAGATTGGAAAATGTGGAATTTGAACTTAGTAAGGTCCCAGTGTGGGCCAGTAGCAAATCTCTTCAGGATTTTTCTTTTATTACCATATATGGCATCACCTAGGTTTTCAATCTTGGTTCATTAGCTTTGCTGGTGTTCCTCTAAATGGTGGCATCTAAACTTGTTATTTCAATCTTCTCTTGTATGGCACTGACCTCCACTTCACCATGGTTTTGACCTTCTCCCGGTCCCAGTATTTATTCTCATCTACCCAGTGGACTTCTTTGCTTGATACTTTATGACATGCACAACATTGAACTCTGTTATTTATCCACAATTGATAATTGTTTTACATTCCATTTCTTATGCATATTACCTTCTCTGTAGTTGCTCATGTGTATGTCTATGATGTATAAGTATATATGCATACATACACAGCTTGGTTTGTGAACTTAATTTGTTCTATGATTTTGGAAAAGATGGCCAGGTTTGTGTTTTTATGGGAAAGATGACCACTGTCATGTTTGTCACTGAATGCAGAGTTTGCAAACAAAAACAAAATGTTGCTAAATGCTTTTATTTGCAAATCAAATCATTTTTAAACAAAAGTGTTCATGAACCAAAATTGATTGTTGTTCAGGTTTTTTAAATTATTTAATATTATGGCTCTTGACTTATTTTAAGATGCTCCATGTTTTGATAAAATCATACTAGTTTCTATAGCGGATAAACTCTCAAGTCTTAATGGTGTGGTGCAATGAATTTTTTGGTGTTTTTTTCCACTCCTATACAGTGTAGTTGACACTGGGCATGGAAAGCATGTTTCATGTCATCAGGCTGATGAAGGCAATATCATCTTCAGCATATAGTTTCCAAAGACACCTCAGGTGTTGACATCCAGTTGAATAAAGGTAATGAGTAGAGAGTCACATGAAAGAGTTTAATGGACTTGGCCTGAAGGTGGCATACATCTCTTGACTGTCATGGCTTACATCTAGATGTCCCCCCTCCCCCAGCCTCCTGTGCTCATAGGTGGGGCCTTTGTTTTTTGGTACCAGGGATCGAACTCAGGTCCTTGCGCTTGTGCAGCTGGCGGCGAAACCACTGAGCTAAATCCCCGGCCCTCGGTGGGGCTTTTGAGAGTGGCTGGATCATAGGTATGTGAAACTGGATTAGTCCATTGATTGGTTTAGCATAGATCTGAGTGTGGGTAATGGACTTACTGAAGAGGGAAGACCCACTCTGTGTGTGAGTGGCACCAATCAATAGGCTTGCAGCCTGGATGAAGTAAAAAGAGGAGGTCTCACTGCCTCCTGCCTGTCACTCGATGAACTGTTTCTTCTCTGCCAAGCTGCCCTGCCTTGGGGCCAACTGACTATCAGCTGAAACTTCTATAAACTGTTAACTAAAATAAACCTTTCCTCCTTTTAACTTGTGTCAGGTATTTTGTCTCAGCAACGAGAAAGTAAGTAAGACACTGACCTGTGTTTCCTCCTGGAGAATTCAGCTGTGTAGCTCAATTTAGATACACCTAAATAACTGGACTACAGAATATGCTTAGATTCCACCAGTTTTGCACACACTCATTTTAAAT